CTAGTGATAGAAATTTTAAAAAAGCTCGAAATTATAACTTCAATTAGCAGCATCGACTGGAGAAACAAATCATGAAGGAAGTTATATGGTTTAACATGTTAAGCTTCACTTCATATTTCATTGTGGGTCAATATATATATATATATATGTAGCAATAATGCAATAAATAGCAGCGGGTATCACTATCAATCTCGGACCCGTATTTTTTTAACCCCTTTCAAGCTTTTTTTTTTCCGCTTACCCTCTCCTATTTTTATCTCTTCGAAATGATACGATAAAGAGAACGTATCGTATCCGTATTTCAGTTTTTTCTTCATTTTTCCTTCTTTTTTTTCCTTTCTTTCTTTTTCCATTAATCATTTTTGTTCTCTCATACTCTTTACAACAAATGATTATATCGAATTTTAAATTAATTTTATTTTTTTCGTTAAATTTAAAAATTAACCATTAATAAATGCTAAATTAACTATTTGATAGAATGAAATCATTTTTAATTTCTTATATATTCAACAAATTTTTCTTCATATCGAAATATTCTTCTTTTTTTTTTTCAAATTTTCACATAATTTAATTTTCCGTCATTTTTCCCCGTCGTTTTCATTTCTTCTCTTTCTTTTCCTCCTATGGTTAAATAATCATTACCGTATTCTCGATAAATTGTCAATCATTGATCATTTGTAAGTCGAAATTCGGCGAAATAGAACAATTGGAAAAATTTGTTATATTATATTATATTATATATATATATAGTTAAGCTCATTTATACACCGTAATAAATACTATATCGATGCATTTAACACGACATACAAAAATATTTCCAATTTAATCGTTTTTGAAAATGATGACAAATCACGAAATATTACAATTAATAATAATTTTTGATCTAGTTTTGAAATCGTAACATTTCAAAAGTTAAAATATACATACATATTTGTATGAAAAATAGCATCATATTATATTCAAATTTTTGTTTTGCAAAAATATGCAAAAATTATTTTATTATAATAAATTATAAACTATTATTAATAGTATTGAAAAATTATTAAAATTTTAATTATATGTTATAAATTCCAAAGTGTTTCTGTAAATTCTATTGTTTACAAATTTATTTTATTACATGCTAATATTCCAATAAAAATATTAATCATCTCATTAATAAGGAAAGTCAACGATGCTATATTCATATTTTATACATATGTATCATTTACATATTATAATACAGTAAATTAAAAAAACTATTATATTATAAATCATTATTACAATGATAGATGAAGAAGCAGCAATAGAATTTACCTAATATAAAAATATGCTTATTCTTTTTCAAAATTTAATAAATTTTGCAATAAAAAAAAATTTAAAATTTTTGAATTACAAAAAATGAAATCGTTGAAATTTATCAGATGTTCCTTTTTTTTTTTTAATTAATCTAATTTTAAAAAAATTAAAAATTTATCATGAAATTATAAGTTTTAAAAGAAAGAACAACGATTAATTAATTATGAAAATATATTTTACCTATGCAAAAATTAAAAGAAAAATATTCGAACAAAATAAAACTGAGCAAAAATTCGTCACAATTATCCACGCAAGAAATAATGCTACGTATCATTTCGAAAATAAAAGGAAAACAAAAAAAAAAGGGATATGAAATACTTTGAATAATTTAATTTCACTTAATAAAATTTAATTCAATTTATTTCAAATTAGTTTCATTTAATTAATTAATTAATTATCATTATCTTCATTTATTTAATTATTATTATTTTCATTTACTTAATTATTATTATTATTATCTTATCGTAAATTTGTTGGTGAAAATTTCAATCAGTTTTTTGCTATAATATTATTTATGCAAATTTTCAGTTTTAAACTCAAAAATTTATCACACAAATTTAAATGATCGATGAAAAATTTGAAATATTACTTGAATTTTTAAGAGAAAAACAACTTTACAAAATAAAATAATATATGTATACATGTATATATCAATATTTGTTACATATCAATTTTCCGGAAGCCATAATATGATGATAATGTAAGTAAATTAATTGTAGAAATAGGAAAAGAAGAGAATAACACCGGTTTTCAGGATGAATTAATAAATCAATTTGCTAATTTTTACAATAACCTGAAAAATCAATGAAAACAGAAAAATTCATTTCAAGAAAAAGAAATGAATGCTATCACGTAAGCATCATTTTACTTATAAATAAATTAAAATTTATTTAAAAATTTTAGAAACAATAGATTTTAAGTGATAAAAAGAAATGTAAAAATTGGACAAAATGATAAAGCTAAAAAGATTTTTAATTCTGATAAACAATTTGATCATTCAATGATATTTCAAAAGTTTATTTTAAGAAAAAGAAAACGAAAACATTTCAATTGATTTTTCTTGAATATGAATTGTGAAAATCCGATTTGTATCAACCTAATGATAAATTAAATAACTGATTAACAAAAATCAAATTCGGAAATCGAATTTTTCTTATTTTCAAAATCTAACATTGTGAAAAGTAATTCATTGAGAAAGTTAAATGATAGTCAAAGTGATGTAATTTTAATATAAAAGATTAAATGATAGTCAAAGTGATGTAATTTTAATAGAGATAAAATCACCGAAATTTTTGCTGGAAATTCATTAAAAATCTTTTTTTCACTAATTTTTTTTGCCGTAATAATTATCACAAATGTTTTCGATTACAAAAAATAACAAAATTTGCTTCAAACTTTTATAAAATATAATTAGCAAAGAGATGAAATAAAAAATCAACAAATATATTATTTGGTTGTCTTGCGATCTTTCTGTCTCTGTCAAATTTTTAGCAAAATTGATTGAATTTTCTTAACAAATATATCTATAAATAAATATGGAAAAAGAGAGAGAAATCATTGATAAAACTAAATATCAAGAATTAGGATTAAACTGTTGTAAAACTACATTTGATAATGTGGAAAATTCGTGAAAATCAAAATATTTTGTAGAAAATCTAAATCCTAATATCACTATATTAAAATATTTCAAATTTGAAGAAAATTTTTTGCTCATTTTTAGTCAAAATTTAAAAAATTTGAAAATTTTTGCAAAATAAAAAGAAAAGGATAATATTAGCATAGGGAAATTTGGTAGGAAATACTGCAAATATTGTCGAAATTTGATGCAACAATCTTATAATATCATCAATCGCAAAGCAACAATGAATTTAACATATTCATAAAATTGAAGAGAGAGGAAGAAGAAAAGAAAAACGATAAAAACGGAAACTATGTGTAAACAAAAGTATCCGGTGGATAATTATTAGGATTTAATAAAAGTTCCTGACCATATTGAGGTGTCATACGTTTCTCTTTTTGTCTTCGATTACAAAACCATACTCGGACCACTTCTTTTTCCAGTTGTAATTCCATTGCAACCTGAGCGATTTCTTGGGCATTTGGTTTAGGATTTTTCTGAAAATGATATTCCAAGCGGCTTTTCACTTGTACTTCAATTGATGTACGCTTTTTCCTCTTTCGACCACCCTGTCCTGTCATTTTTTCAAAGGCGCTATTGGGTGAGGAACTGGTAGAATCAGCTTCTTCAAGCCATTTATATAGTAATGGCTTTAGCTTACACATATTTTTAAAACTTAACTGTAATGCTTCAAAACGACAAATAGTAGTTTGGCTGAATACGTTACCATATAAGGTACCAAGCGCTAAACCAACATCAGCTTGAGTATAGCCAAGTTTAATACGACGTTGTTTGAAGGTTTTTGCAAATGCTTCCAAATCTTCAGAACATGTGGATTCTGTTTCATCAGCAAGTTGCGATGATGAAAGGGGCAAATCTTCTTGGGCAAATGAATAAGGCCACGATGAAGGTGCGGCAGCAGAAAGACGTTGTATAACATCCGGACGTTCAGGTTCTTGTTTCATTTCCATTACACCGGTATTTGCAAGATGTGAAGGGATAACTTGTGGAATAGACATTAATGATAATTGTTGGTGATGTTGATGCTGTTGTTGTTGTTGTTGCTGCTGATTATGTTGTTGTTGTAATAAATGTTGTTGAATATGATGCGGATGATGTTCATGATAAGTAGTCCAATCTGGTTGAGGCGGAGAAAATATCAACTGAAATGGTGTAGCGGTAACAGAATGTGGTTGATAAGGTTGTAATACCGATTGCGGCATAGTTGCTGTTGGTGGTAATGATAATGACGGTGGTGGTAGTGATAGTGGTGGCGGAGGAGGTGGTGGCCATCGTTCGCTTAATTCCTGGAATGCTTCACATGTTGGTTTAATAACCTGAGTATAATTGCTAGCACTAACGGTACCACTGTCATTGGTACCAGTATTGTTACTGTTGTTGTTGTTGTTGCTGTTGTTATTGTTACTGTTGTTATCCGTTGATCGTATGTTATTCGGTATATTGATAACAACCGCCGATGATTGCTGTTGTTGTTGTTGTTGTTGTTGTTGTTGCTCATCATTGGGTTGTGATGCCGAGAATGATGATGCTGACAACATTTAGCATATTAAAATAATTTTATTGAATAAATATTGTTTATTGTTGATGATATTGTTGCTGCTGTTGCCGATTAATAGGAAAGGTGAAAATTTTTTTTTACAATATAAACGTTTTACGTTTTGTATACGTACGCTTATGTTCGATAACGTAATATCAAATAAGCCAGAAATGGAAATGAAAACGAAGAAAACCGGCGGCAAAAAATCGGAACACTTTTCCGGTGAATAATCAGCAATGTAAATGAGATGGTGATGCTTTCGGTGATGGTTCTGCTTCAATTCCACCCCTCTTTATTATAGCTTGAAATCAGCATACACATATATATATATACACACATAAACGTGCACACACACACACATACATACATACAGCAAACAAAAAAGCACCGATCCAATCAAACTTCTCGATTTTGATTCAGGTAGCAGGAATGGTTCCGAAATTAGTCCTGTTTCACAGAGATAATACTGATGATGATGATGATGATCTTGATGATAGTAATAATGGATAATGATGATAATAGTGATAGTAATTGTGATGTCGATTATGTTGATGATGATAATGATGATTTTGATTATGATGATGATGATGTATCAGACAATCCGAAATCATTGGAACAAATATAACCAACCCTATGGTAGTTTTCAGGAGAGAAAGAGGGAGAGAGGGCAAGAAAGGAAGAGAAAAGAGGGGGAGTTCGGAAATGCTCCCTACATATGATAGACGCGGACAGACATACAAAATATTTCCTCAACGCCCCCTCCTCATTCATGTGATAGCTATGGAAGAGGAGGAGGTAGCTGATGGCACTATTGCTTTCAAGGAATTTTGTGATTGGTCGATAGATGTGTGGGCGGGTAAATGATTGAGAGTGAAGAAGGATATACCGGACATTACCGAAATGCCACACCCCCCTATCTTGTTATTCATGATATCTGATATGATCTATGGAAAAGAATAAGGAATAAGGTCGAATGTCAGATAAGAAAGGATGAATGAATTCTGGGAACGAGAGCTGATTGGTTAGTTGCTTATAAAGATGAGGAACAATAGCGACAATAATGTTTCTAATGATAAGCAACGATAAGTAAGTGATAACTAGTGATAAGTAACGGTAATAGTAATAATATCCAGTAGTTTATAACATTCATTAATGGAAATAATTGAAATTTTTAATTTAATCATTATATATATTAAAATTTCGGATAATTTTATCTTAATATCGAATTAGAGTTTTTGAGTTTTGATGCATTAAGACATCCCATTACAGATATCAAATATGATCCGGAAAAATTTCATCATTTTCGCCTTATTTCTTTTCCTACTTCAAACCGTAAATCTAACAATTTGAAGAAATTTATTAAAATAGAAATTTCATTGTTTTCAAATTAATTGAAATTAAATATTTAAAATGATCAATAGTATAAATAAGGATATTTTCATCCCCCTGAAAGAAAAACGATAAAACTAATTAATTAATAAAATTTTCTACATTGTCAAATTTTTTCTTCTTTTACCATCTGTCTATCTGTCTGTTTATCAAATTAAATTGAAATAGATAAAATGATAAAATTGCATAATTAACTAATAACAGTTTATAAAATCATTTCCTACTTTTGAATATATGTTTGTCGAAAATTTTAAATTTGTAAAATTTCGACATTTAAAAAGATGAATTTATTTTTTTTGAATGAATGAAATTGTTTTAGCTATCAGTTAAGAATGAAAATAGAGTGGGAGGAAAAAAAAGTGAAAGAAATATTGCACCCACCAATTTTACCTCTTCTTATCCGTCTCTCTTCTATTCCTCTGTCCGCTTCTGTAATTTATGCAAATTTATTCGTTTTCACATAGTTCTCCTTTTTTTTTCCAATCATCCATTACTAATCAGTATGTCAAGCAATTGAACTATCATCTCTCTCTCTCTCTCTCTCTCTCTTCAAGAAGGTAATTTATATACATAAATGTGTCTATTTTAAAACAAGAGAAAAAAAGCAAAATTTAATGGAATTGCGTTAAAATTTGATTCAGGTTTGAATCTGAAATGAAATTAATTAAATTTTTTTAATGATTTAAAATTTGATTCAAATTTGAATTAGAAACAAGTTTGTTTCTCTTTTGTTACTATTTAAAAAAATTGAATTATTAAATTTGAAATTTAAAAGAGAATAATCATTTCAAGTAAAGTAAAATCATTTCGAATAATCGAGTATGATAAAATCATTCCAGCCATTTCGAGTAAAATAAAATCATTTGGATCATTTCGAGTAATCGAGTAAAATAAAACCATTTCAATCATTTCAAGTAAAAATATAATCATTTCGATCATTTCGAGTAAAATAAAGTCATTTGGATCATTTCGAGTAATCGAGTAAAATAAAACCATTTCAATCATTTCAAGTAATCGAGTAAAGTAAAATCATTTTGATCATTTCGAGCAAAGTAATGAAAACGAAAAAGTAATCGAAGTAAAGAAGAAAAGTATGAAAAAGATTAAAGAGTAAAAATTCAAAATGAAATATAACAAATTACGATATAATCAATGAAATGAATGATTATATGACAAATAGCGATTTAAATAATTTTCTTGAATTATAATTCAAATTATGATATTACGAAATAATTGACAATCAAAAATGAGCATAGAATACATTTGATATATTCATTTATAATAATTAAAATTCAAAAACAAAATTATCCAAATTTAATTACTTTAATGTATTATATTAGTTATTATTCTATTATCATTGATATATCATTTCCATTTCTTATGATCAATCGTTGAATTCTTTAATTGTTTCAAGTTGCATTACTTGAAATGAATTATTTGAAAAGTTGAAAAAAATTGAATAAGTATATGATAAATTATATTCTATCAATTAATTAGTTTCAGCGATGAAAAATTGAAACGCTTAGTGCATAAGATAAATATATTTTTTATCAATCAATTTTTATCAATTTCTATCAATAGTTATTATCATTTGTGATAGCAAAATTTATATCAAAATATGCAATCTTGCCAATCAATCCGAATTGATCAAATTCGAATTAATTACTGAATTGTTTTAATAATTACATGACAATTTTAATTTTTACGAAAATTAAAATTAAAGAAAACTTTCGAAGAAAATGAAAATGATTGAAATACGTAAATAATATTTAAATACAAAAAGAGTGAAGTTTAAAAGTGAAGTTTTTGTTTTTAATTAAATATAATTAAATTAAATTAAACTATTGAAATTTTAAGAGTTGAAAAATCACATAAACTATTAAAGAAAAGGAAATGAAAAATAACAAATAAAAATTATATAGATATAATTTCAAATGATAAAATAAGTTAGTGAAATTAGAATGAAATATCATAAAGAAGCAAAATTAAATGCAACAACAATAACAACAACAACAACAACAACAAAGCTTTTATTAGTAATTATCTATTTCCTTTATTCAATGCATTAATTACAATAAGAAAATAAATCGATCAAATTTTTTGTCTAATTTTAATCATACAGTAAAATATACATTATTGATTCACTTCATCAAAATTCATTGATACTTCATTATACATATATCATTGCACTGGTAGTAGTACATTTGAATTTTTACAAATAAATTCAAAAATTTATTAATTACAATAAGAAAATAAGTCGATCAAATTTTTCGTCTAATTTTAATCATGCAGTAAAATGTACATTATTGATTCACTTAATCAAAATTCATTAATGCTTCATTATACATATATCATTGCATTGATAGTAGTACATTTGAATTTTCATAAATAATTTCAAAAATTTGAAATCTCAATTTGTTACTTGAATAATGGTATAATAGTGATATTTACGATTAATATTGTAATATTGAATTTGAGAAATTAAAAATAAACTAAGCAGTAAAAAATACGATATTTAATTTGAATTTAAATAATTATTTCTTCTATTAAATCAGCTGATTTATTTCCAGCATTTTCTCTAAGTGATAAATATCAATGATAACAACGTAATGTTTGCTTACTAGAAAAAATTGCTATTTTCATAAATTTTTTGCTTATTTTGTAAATCATCAAATTGAAATGCTTGTTTCATCTATAGTTAAAAACTTTTTCCATTTAATTGGTTTAATTAATTGGTTTAATTAAATTGATAACATATAAAGATAAAAAAAGGACTTCTCAACAATATAAATATATCATTATCATTTTGTAATTTCTTAATCAATACCATATATCGGATTAAAATTTGTTGAATTATCTTCAACAAAATTATCAAATTTTTATCAGTGAAAAAAAGATTAAAAACTCAAAAATCATTTTTGCATTAATGCTAATAAATAATTTGAGAAATTTAGAAATTTTAAATTTAGCTACAAAACTTTTGCATAGTTTACAGTAACTGTAGATATTAGCAAAAGATATATCCAATAGATTTTTATTTGTTGAAAAAATAGTTGTAAATCGTAATCATTAATCAAATCCTAATCAAATCGTAATCAAAATCGTAATCATATTTAATGCTAAAATCTTACTAACCATTTATGAACCAAAATCCCATATTTTCACTAGTTGACAGATGAAAAAACGAAAATTAAGTAAATATCGTAAATGAATTGGCGATGAAATTTTGTGGTAGAAGATGAGAGCAATAATACTAAAAATTGGTTTTGATCTTGATAAAAGAAGTATAGGGACGAATAAGGTGGAAATAAGAGCGGGGGAAACTGAGAGAGAGATAAGAGAAGTAAAAAGAGGTTGTAGGAAAATTAGATGCCTTAATGTGATGCCATTATTGATCATTCCTTTTTCTTGCTGAATAATCACATTCTAAAAAAGGGATAATGTGACAGCTAACTTTAACACATTTTATATATTTATCACATAACAGAACAATTTTTATCTTTCAATTTAATTTAATTTAATTTCTTTTTATTTTTTAATCCATTATTAATGGAATATTTTGGTATCATTTTAATAGTTTCTTTTTTGTTTTAAATAATTAAATAAAAATAAATTAATTAATGAGAGGTTGAATAAAAGAAGAAATGAAATGGATAAATAGTATAAAATGAATTGATAATAAATAGTTAGAAAGTAGAAATGAAATAATAGTAAAGAAGTATTTGGTATGAATTTAAAATAAGCGTGAAAATGACATGAAATGAAAATAGGAAATGAATTAAATAATTTGAAATGAAAGGAAATAAAAATAGACGAAAAATTTGATGTGCAAAAAATAAAAATAAGTATGAATTTTCAATTTTCAATATGCGCAAATTAAAATGCATTATCGTAAGTATTTGATCTGAATTTAAAAATAAGCATGAAAATGAAAAGAAATAAAAATGGGAAATGAATAAATGATTCGAAATGAAAAGAAATAGAAGTAGGAAATGGATTAAATAATTTGAAATGAAAAGAAATAAAATAGACCAAAAGTTTGATGTGCAAAAAATAAAAATAAGTATGAATTTTCAATTTTCAATATCGGTAAATTAAAATGATACTAGTAATAATTTTGATTGAAAAAAACTGCAAAAATAAGTTAAATAATTTGAAATTATTGTATTATCATTAATTATTACTATTAGAAATAATTAGCAGTAATGTATTAATTAATTGTTTTTGAAAAAAAAG